TGTCTCGATTTCAGAAATTTTCTAACTCACTATATCTCGCAATTTTTTGAAATTCCATATTTATACATAATGTGGCTTTATCATTTGCAATTTTTTTACCTGCAAAATTGTATCTTTTTGTATTTGATGCTATTTTTGCTGCATCGAATTGGCAATTTATTAGCATCTGTAGCTGCATTATTGGTGGCTAGTTTCGGAGATCTAAAGCATCCGTGGCTGATTGGTTAGTGTGTGAGACTCAAATTTGCTAGGTCGCAGATTTTTGCTAATTCGAGTTTTTGCTAAGCCTGAGTTTTTCGAGGCTTATTTCTACTTTCTCTTGTGTCACTTGATAGAACTGCTTTTTGGTCCTGTTCTCGCAAGTGTTTGCGAAGCACAGCTTTGAATTTGTGTAAATTTCAGTTTGCTGTTTCAATTACTGCTTGTAATTAAGCAGAACTATACCAGTCTAAACTTTATTAGGTTTCAGCGCTAAAGAGAAACCATGAGATCTAAAGTGCAACTGATGTCATGCGAACAATACCTAAAGTATCAGGAGACAAAACTTCTTCGGTAAAGTAAATTTTAATAGATATGAAATGTATCTTGGCGTACTGAAAGTTCAGAAAAATTGATCCCAAAATTATTAACTAAAACGCCTTAATTTTGGGTATGGGGTTTATCATAGTAGAAAATTAGAAAACTATTTGTTTACAATGAGTCAGCTTCCGCGCAACATAGTGTAAAAAATAAATCTTAACTATGAAACAAATGTCGGTTTATTTCTTAAATGAAATTTTTTGTACCCAGTTCGATTTTGCTTAGGTATTTTATTTCATATGTAAAAAATGTTAGTCGATAAGATTCAATTTGCTACTATATTGTTCCACATACTTCAAGACGTTTTACTAGATTTTGATTATGCAAAAAAAAATAATCAGGATAATAACTCAAATTCAAATATGTTGCAGAATAAAGTCAGCATAAGATATTAATGGTCCATGAACTGATTATTTTTGAGCTGTTTTTGCTCCAAGAAAATTAAATTTGCATCTGCAGAGCCGTGGGCCCAAGTTGTTTAAGCTTATTAGTGAGATTAAGCTACTAGTGGAAAACAAGAAATTGAGCAACCACTTAATTTTTGTTTATGCGCAAAAATTACATTTTAGGGAATTTGAAATTTACCCACTGAAATTTCGATAATTTTTTTCATTGATCCCCGCATTGGGTAATGCTTTAGAAATGCTTTAACCGCTTTAAAAATAGTTGCAAACCTGCGGCAAAATTCCGAATTTTCGAAACCAATTTTGTTCGAGAAATTAACGCTTGTAAAAAAATTTTGGAATGTTTGGTGCAATATTGACCTAGAATTTGAAAAAAATTTAAATCGTTTTATTGTTCACAATTTTTTTCAATAAGTAGAAAAAAAATTTAAATGAAAATATCTGCAAGTTTCTAGTTGTTGTCATTGTGTTGCAATCCAATATTTGGGTTTGAACGTAGTTTGAAATTTTTGCAAAAAAAGTGTCTTGGATTGTTTTTTTTTGTGTTCGTGTTTTTTCTTGTTTTTCAGGTGCAAATAATTAATCAAAAGGTTTATGTTGATGTTGCTGTGTTGTATTCCGTTCTCTAGGTTTGAGTTCTCGTAAAGTTTTATATTTTTTTCAATCGTAGGCTTATTGTGGGCATTCAGTAGGCTCACCTTGATTTTATTTTGATAATGTAAATTAGAATGAAACAAATTGTTAAAGCGATATTTTTTCTTGCTGAAAATTGTATTTTAAATTTTTTTCTTCCTTTTTTATTTTCTTCCTTAATTGATAAATTGTTGTATATCGACAATTTTACTAAAGGAGCTTTTTTGCCGGTCTTAACTCAATGTTATTTGCAGATTTAACTAATGTAAACCCACTATTATAATTTTATTATAGGGTCGGATGTTTTCAATGAATTTCTTCGTATACTAGCTAAAATGTGTCCGCTCTATAAATTGAGGCATGTTAGTTGGTAAATTTTTTTTTTTCAAATTGACTGGTACTGCTAATGCGTCATAATTGGCTTGCGTCACTTAGCAATTATGTAGACTCATAATTGGCGTGCGTCCATTATGAATTTTTGTAGACTCAAGGTTCAGTTCTGATTCAGTTTTCCCAGTAGCGTTATCGGTCATATTTTTGCTTGGTATGCGAAGTGCAACTTCGCCTCTGTGTATATAATTTTAATATAATTATAATATATATATTTATGTCGCCACTGATCTTTTTTTAAGCGAAACTTGGGGTTATTAGCGCGCGATATACTTCGAAATTTTCACGCGTAACCGCAGTAACTTTGCGCTGTAAAAACGGGCTCAGAAACTATTTCAAATTGAGTTGAGGCATCCTAGTTAGAAGGGGAGGGGTAGAAGGCTTCAAGTATTCAGATATGCTATAGATTTTCGGTCTTTCATGCTATGTTTTAAGATAAGGTATAGTCTGTAATGTATTAAGATGATAACTTTGGCTGAAACATCTAGCTTTAAACCAAGTGAGCATCCTGTCCCCTAAATCGCTTTAGCCAATGAGAATTGAGCATTTTATTTGAAGCGTTGAGCCATATTTTCCAAGCTGAATGGTGGGGAGGAAGATGATAACTTAGCCGAGTTAGGGTGGAGCACGTTAACCTGATCCATAAGTAGACATTGATAAGTAATAGACTTCAAAAGTATATACTTTAATTTTCACTTGTAAAAACAAAGTTGAGTCAAAATATTTTGAAAAGGATTACAGGTAAAGTAAGCTTTTGCATTTGAAAGCAGCGAATCGATATCTTCATTGGAAATTAACAATTTTCAATTTTTTTAATAACTGTTACTTAAATCGCCGAATTTTATCTGAATAAAGAAACCATCTCAAGCATATATATTTCTTACTTTATTTGAAACTCGGAACAGAAAGTTTTATCATTTCACCCAGTCCTATTTATTCGAATTAAACCTACCTTCTTGTTTCAATTAACTCTTCATTTTGTTTGACTATTTTTTTACAGTATTATAAGTTTTTATTAACTTTTTTCTTCTAAAACTATAGTTTGCTAAAAAAAAAACTAGACCCAATTTGTTCAAAAGCAACCGATGATCGGCTCGAGGCTATTTCTTGTCGATAAACAAATTACCATGCCCAATTTCAAATTTTTGAATTACAAAATTCCCATGATTCAGGTACCCCAAAATCAAGAAACACAAACAACCATCGGAATGTATCGAGTGATTTATCATTTTAACATGATAAAATTTTTAAAATTGTTTTACGATTTTTTTTTGTTTTTCTGTGCATTTTCTGCAAACTCTTCTCCAATTGGCCTATTTAATTATGACTGCCGCCTTTGCCTAATTTATATTTTTTCGGTCAGATTTTTTATCAGACCTCACAGAAAAAGCGATACTAATTTGAAAAAAAAACTGCATTCGTTAAGACTATGGTCGTAAAATTCTGGGCTACTCGCACAGTAACCGGCTCTTCTTGTTTTTTTCTGGAAAGGGTGTTTGAACTAGATGAATTTTCATTCGAAATAGTGGTAACGGTAGCAAAAAAGGTGAAATTATAAAGGCAACTAGATTTGAAGGTCAGTCTATTTTTTCTGATTTCTTGAAAAAGAGACAATTTTATCGATTTTTCTCAAAATTGCAACGGCAGCAGAAAAAGCTTTAATAGCTCGTTATTGTCTAATAGTTGATTGCTTATCTTTTTTGTGTTACAAGTCAAAATAAAATTTCGATAAAAGCTTTTTATGAAAATGACTGGATTGGTGGCAGAGTGATGTAGAACTACGTCTATTTGAATAACTGATAGAAATTTTGGTTGTTTCATAGTTGCTTGAAAAATTTTGATAATTTGTTGTTGAAGCTTGGGATTTATGCGGGTAAATATTCCGTCTAGAAATCTCAGCATTCGACTTAGAAAACAGAATTATTCTAAATTACAAAGCAACTTTGAATTTTTTTGGGTTGGTGATATTGTACTTGGTCTATTTGAAAACCGCGAGATTGTTCTCATAACGCTACGAACTTTTAAAATATTAATGAGGGAACAATTAAATTATATTTATGAAATTGAATAAGGTAGTATGACGTTGTTTCAGTTTATCCGAGAGCATCGGAACTTGAGCACGTAGACAAAATTCAGCTTGAATGACGCACATAAAACTGAAGGAAATTTCCACTACAATTAGAAGGAAATTTTCAATACAAATACAGACCTCTAGCTTCATAGCCGTATTTAGATCTTGTTAACGATTTCCCCCCCCCCCCCCCCCCCCATTTGCAATAGAACAAAGTACAACATTTGTATATGCTTAATGAATCAATTTTTTTCTTTATAGGGGAGCCAATTCGTTACAACGTACCAAAGGGGAGGAAATAGTTAATAAGATACCCGTATTTTATCTCTTATTTTATTTAGTTCAAGTTAAGAATAATTTTATGAAGCTATGCATACCGCCATTTTTTTAGTATAGCACCTCGTTTGTGAAAGAAATAAGTATAACGAAATTTCCCGTCAGGTTATATAATTTATATTATCCGGCATTTCAAATGATCTGATTGAATAAACAGATTGAAAGAATTCAAAAAAGGAAAGTTCCACTTTTAGTACGTAAATCTGACGTAGCAAGTTCTGTTTTTGCGTCAAACTAAAACTTCTACGTTTCAATTTTAGTTGGTTTTTGGTAAACAAATCGGCAAATCGGTCGATAAAAGTAATTATCAGATGACGCGAGCTCGGTTGTTTCAAAACTCTGAGTATTTTGATTAACTAATCCGAAAGTGTATAAGCGAAGATTTGATATTTGTCGGTCAGATTTTCCCACGTTTTGCAAATGTGAAACCAAGTTAATTAACATCCTCCCGACACCTCCCCCCTCCCCCAAAGACAGGGATGTTCTTAGTTCGAATTTTCAACCAATCAGAATAGAGCATTCTACATGCAGCGCCGGGGGGGGGATTTTAACTTGATCTATTGGGCGAGTGGGGTGGGGGGGGGGGGCTGTTAATTGTTAACTTGATTCCAAATGTGCTTATTAGTCTGATAGTTAGATCGAATTAGTTTTTTGATGAGCAAAGAGGTTTAATTTTGTTTCCAGAGACGATCAGTCGCTGAGGTAGTCATCGTCGGCGTCTCCGTCCGCTCGTGTTTTGTCCCCCGACTTCCGACCCATCATGCCTTCGATAGGCGAATACAGGCCACACATTACCAAGTTATAGGTAATAAGAGCGGTGTGGAAAAAGTTATTTCTCAACAGTTTGTTGTTGAGTATCTTTTCGTAAAGGTCGCTTCTGTCATTCAATTGGGTGGCCTCAATTGACCTTTGAGTGATCAAAAGGTCAAGAAGATCGCAGGAACTGCAGTTTTCGTGATACGTTAGCTTGTCCGACTTTTCCAAGTGTTTTCCGTAGATGTATATGTAGGGCATGTTTAAGCTCAGTTTTTTCTCATCCGTGTTTCGGCTGCCGAAAACCATGTCAGATAAGACGTCGATTTTGAACTGGTTGTAGTCGTGTGAAATTGATTTGAGCACCTAAAAAATCACACTTTCTTACATAGCATATTTCAATTCTTGTTATTACTGTTATAAACCTGAATCAGTACGTGATTAGATTTTTAAAACGTTTAATGTTTTCCGGAAACAAGTCAAGCTGATCTAAAAAATTAATCATAATGAATCAATTTCTAGTGAATGAGGGTTGGGGATATGGGTGGATTCAAACGAGATTGTTTTTAGCAATTGAAATAAAATTCTGGTTAATTCTCTTTACTTGCTCATCGGTTTACGTGTTCTATTTTTTTGCTGCCATTTTGATCTTCCCGTTTTGATCTACTCGCAATATTATCACGGCTCCGTAAAATAACTCAAGGTAAATTTCGGCCAAAAAATATCCTCCTTTTTGTCTTTAATTATCGATTCTTATGCTTTCTTGTTTTATCCCATTTTCATTTATCTTGTTGCTCAATATTGTTTCTACGATATTATCGCAACAGTGTCGCTTTTAATATTTTGCCAATTTCATTTTATCAAAATATTGAAAAACATTTGAAGTTTTTGAATTTTTCCAACATTTTTTTTTCCGATTAATGCGGTGTTGAGAATTGGTTGAAATGTTTAGCCTATTTGAGTGTTTTGGAGAAATAGAAGTTAATTCAGTCGTTATTTAATTTTTTGTTTGAAGAGACGAAGTTATTTTTCCGACCATTTGAAAAATGGGGAGGAACTTTGTATTCGAGTGTGTTTTAGTTTTTTTTCTTTTTTTCCTCACAGAATCACAAATAATTTTCCACAAATAATTATCATACCACAAATCAGGTACCGCAAATAGTTATCGAAATGAGTCGAATGATATATCATTTAAAAGCTCTTTCAATCGTGATTCGAACCACATTAAAAAATTTCAAAAAACTTTTCAGTGGCGAGAAAAATTGGTTTGTAATTTATGATTTTTTGTCTAATTTTGAACTAATATGGTGAGAGAGTGTAAGCTTACAAAATTTATTTAAGCATAATTTAAGCTGTGAAAACTTACTTGCACTCAAACAAAAGTAATTTTTGGAGTTGCTTAGCGCCATTTTGTAAACAAAGGTTAAAAATTCCAAAAATTTCTGCAATATGGTGTGAGCGTGTACGCATACAATAACTTATTTAAGCTTACTTTAAGCCGTGAAAACTTAGTTGTACTCAAATAAAAGTAGTTTTTGGAGTTGTTTAGCGCCATTTGGTAAACAAATGTTTTAAAAAAATTTGTACAATTTGTCGTTTTCATAGTCAATTTTCTTTAAAAACTGTAAACTGTTTTCCGAATGTTTTTTCTACTATAACTGTCAAATATGCCTAAGTTCTTTTTTTGTTCAGATTTTTTATCACACCATGCGCAAAAATCGGCAATAAATTGAAAAAAATGTATTTTTCTACGACTGTGGTCGGAACATTCTGTGCTACCGGCTATCCTTGTTCAGTATTTTTTAAAAGTGATTAAGTTTTTGAACAGGACTCGTTTTACTTCTCAAATTGTTTTTATTTCCCTCCAAAATTTAAACTTACCGCATAATCCAGGCTCCGCTAAAAAACGATAAATAGTTTTCACTGAAATTTTGATATTGTTTTAAACAGTTTTCTAACACAAATGAGAGTCCAATGTTTTTGCTACTATTGTCTGCAGTAAAAGTTTTTCTTTAGCTACGAGTTTTATATACACGGTATATCGTGATTGAAGTTTTATTTAGTTTGTTTAATTGGCAATTTTTTTCACTCCGAAAGTTTTTCAGTTTTTTAATGAGCATAAGCATTTTTTTATCTATATCTATCTATCTATATCTATCTATCTATCTATCTATCTATCTATCTATCTATCTATATCTATTCTATATTTAAATGCGAGTGACAGCTATCGCCCATTTTTAAGCATATTATTTTTGCATGTTTAACGAATTTTTTTTCATGTTTAAGCTATATCATGTATTGCAATGCTTAAGAAAATTTTTCAATTAGTTTTTTGCAAGGTCATTAATTTTTCATTATTTTTTCGAGGTCAAATTAAGGCTGTCTGTCTGTATACCTACTTTTTAAATTAATTTGATTATGTCTGTCTACCCGTCGCCTATTTTTTTAACTTTCATCTATTACCTATCTATCTATCTATTATATATTTAAATGCGGGCGCCACTATTTCGCCATGTTTAAGCTTTTTCAACGTATTATTTTTGCATGTTGAACAAAAGAATTTTTTCACGTTTAAGCTATATCGTATATTGCAATGGTTAAGGTTTTATTTTCGATTTTCCAGTTGAAATTCAGTGTTCATTTCATCAAGTTTGAAATTAGCAACCCAATAGTAGGATATTGTCAGAGTTGTCCCAGGTTTTCCGATTCTGGCCTCCATATATGAATAACCAAATCCTTTTAGATTACGAGATAGTCAATTTTTAAAAAATTTCTCATTTTTTGAACTTTTCATCCTGTAGTTGGGTGTTGTCAGGGTACTCTCAGGGGTTGCGAATCTTGCCTCCATTTCTCACTTCTCAAATCCTTAAAGTTTTCGAGATATGACGTTTTCTATGATTTTTTCAGAAAGTTTTCAAAAATTTATATTTTAAAAAAATTCCAAAACGTTGAAGATCATAATCCTCTGGTTTGATATTTCGAGGGTACCCTCAGGGGTTGCGATTCTTGCCTGTGATTATGGCTGCTCAAACTCTTGTAGTTTTTGAGATATGATGTTTTTTTGGATTTTTTCAAAATTTTTCAGAAAACTTAATTATAAAAAATTTCACAAAACTTGAAATTACCATCTCTGTAGTGAGGCTCTGTCAGAGTACTCTCAGGAGTACGCAAAATTTGCCGCCAAATATGACTGCTCAAATTCTTGTAGTTTTCGAGATATGACGATTTTTATGATTTTCTACGAAATTTTCGAAAAAAACTTAGATGTTAAAAAGTTCCAAAACCTTGAAGATATCAATCCTGTTATTGGAATCTGTGAGGGTGCTCTCAGGGGGTTGCGAATCTTTCCTCTGATTATGGCTGCTCAAATTCTTGTAGTTTTCGAGATATGACCGTTTTTAGGATTTTTAAAAAAAATTCGCAAAACTTGAAATTATCATCTCTGTAGTGGGGTTCTCTCAGAGTACTCTCAGGCGTTGCGAAATTTGCCGCCAAATGTGACTGCTCAAATTCTTGTAGTTTTCGAGATATGAAGTTTTTGATGATTTTCTACAAAATTTTCGATAAAAACTTAGATGTTAAAAAGTTCTAAAACCTTGAAGATATCAATCCTGTTTTTGGAATCTTTGAGGGTGCTCTCAGGGGGTTGCGAATCTTGCCTCTGATTATGGCTGCTCAAATTCTTGTAGTTTTCGAGATATGACGTTTTTAAGGATTTTTTAAAAATTTTTCATAAAACTTAAGTATAAAAAAAATCACAAAACTTGAAATTATAATCTCTGTAGTGAGACTATCAGGGTTTTCTCAGGAGTTGCGAATTTTTTTTCCAAGTAGGACTGCTCAAAACTTTTAAGTTTTCCAGATGTGACGTTTTTTGTGATTTTTCAAAAAAAAATTCGTGAAAATCAAATTAGGTTTTTTTTTCGAAGTTTGAAATTCCTGTAGTTGCGGGTCTGTCAGAGTAATCCCAGGGGTTTCAAATTCGGCCTCCAATTAAAAATGCTCCCATCATTTTTGTTTAAGAGATACGACGATTTTTGAGATTTTGTTTGGAATTTTTTTTTCAGAAAGCTCAATTAACAAAATAACTAGTTAAAGTAAAATTACCAACCCTGTAGTTGTGTATTTTCAAAGATTGCGAAAATTGCCATTAAAAAAGACTGCTCAGAGTTTGGCAGTTTTCGAGATGTGAGTTTTTTTCTGGTTTTCAAAAAAATACCTTTTTTAGAAAATTGAAGGTGAATTTTCTTAAAATTTGAATTTCCCAACGTTGTAGTTCGGTACTGTAAGAGTACTCTAAGAAGTTGCAAATCTTGCGTCCAAATGCGACTGCTCAATTGCCTTCAGTTTCCCAGATTTGACGTTTCTTAATTCATTATAAACTTAGATATAAAAAAAATGTCACAAATTTTTATGGTTTTTCAAAATTTGAGTTAGAAAAACGAATGAAAAACTTTACAAAATTTGAAGTTACTCTCATGAGTTGCAAATCTTGTGTCCAAATGCGAGTGCTTACAAAATTTTTTGGTTCTTCAAAGTTTGTATAAAAAACTTGAATAAAAAACTTTGCAAAATTTTTAGTTACGAACCCTGTAATTGGGTGCTGTCAGAGTACACTCAAAGAATAGTTTTTTTTGAGTTGTTGAAAATTCGAAGCAACAGAGGTGCGGTACACGCTAGTGATCATTAACCAGACCAATTTTTTCCGAGAACAGTTTTGAAAAAAAAAGAGAATTTTTCAATTTTCAGCGCTTCAGCAAATTAGTGGCTGCTCGATGTGAGAGTATTGCAACAGTGACGTTCAACTATTTCATTAAATCAGAATAATTTGAAACATGTTTTCAATTTTTTGAAGCTTTTTTGTGTCGAATATAGGTGGTTTCCAGATTTGGTTTGAGTTTAACTATTTTTAGAGCTAAGAGTTGAAGAGTTGAAAAATGGAAGCCAATCCAGGTTTCAGTGCTTATTCGAAGTATATTCAAAGATTACCAAAACATTTTCAGTCTCGGGACTTTTTGGTTTATAGTTTTAAGAGTTGATAGACTTTTTTTGCTTAAGCGATTGGTTTTTCTCCCATTGCTAACAAACTTTTTTTCAAAATTTCTTTGGCTCAATTGCCACATTGAAAAAAGTGACAAAATTTATCTTAATTTGGTTTGGTATTAAGCCTCTTGTTTGCATCTATGATTGATGCTTCGAATTTTTTCAGTTACGAATAAACTTTACATAATGTGGTCTATAACTACTGCTTAAGTCAAAAAGTAAACGCTCTTAATTGTCCTTGTTCTTTTCCTCTGCCGTCTGAAGTATTCCAGCTGATTTGTGTAATACACGTTGTTTTCATAGAAATCAAGTTTTCAACTTCTTTTTCAGAATCTCAAAAAAATCCGTTGGTTTTTGGATTTGTTTTCTCTCAGTTTTTTTTCAATTTGAGCAAGCCAATTGTACTTTTTTTTGAAAAAGTCTCATTGTCATCTTGAAAAACGAATTACCTCGATTTTAAACGCTATTTTCTTCCTAATCTCCAATCTTTTTTTTGCAATAAAAAACTGCTTTAAGCGTTCCCAATTTCAGAGCATTCACAATTTTTATCAAAAGTAGTTTTTTTATTTTTTGTGTCCTTCTCTTTTGTTTTTAAACAAAACTTAAGAATATGTTTTTTGGAATATTCATCAGTTAATTTCCGCCATTTTTTTAGAATATATTTTCTTTTTTTATAGGCTACTTTTAATCAAAGTATTTGCTGAATTTTTAGATTTTCAATTTGTTTTTTTTTCAGATCTATTTATTTCGATTCGTCATTGAGTTGCTGTTTTCTGTACTTCTTTCGATATATAAATGACTTGACTCTTCAAATGTTAAAATATTTAATTTCCATAAGATTTTGGATAGATATACCTACAGCTTTGATACTTTTGCTTTGAATTTCAATAATCTGCTTGTTATTTGTTTCTAATTAGCTATACATGAACAAAGTCAATTTGTTTTTATTAGTGTTTTCAAATATAACCGAGCACCAATTTGCTTTTTTTATCCGAGTTGCGTCAGAGCGAGTTGATGAAAAAACCCAGCTTTCAAATAATACCTGAGTAAAAGTTTTTCGATATTTAGGCTCCACGTAATTTTCCTTTTCACCATTAAAAGTATTCCGCATAGATAGCCACAGTTTTAGTCTACTGGAGAAATCCAAATCATTTCTTTTTAATTTTGGCATACTAATTTTTCGTTAATGGATGCTTGGTACGTTTTTTAGTCTTCAACAATTGAGTTCTGAAGCTCAATCGAAAAACCAATCCATGTTTACCAAAATATGTTAGCAATTCAAAATCCAACAGCAGTCTCAGTTCATTTGCTTTGGAGAGATTTGAACAGTTGAACTTTAGGGCGCTAAAATCAAAATTAGTGTGAAAAAATTTGAGAGTCAAGGAACGCAAGTAAAAAAAACTAAAAAACTATCGACTCGTTTTTTGAAATAAATTAAACTTTCGAATTTCAAAGAGAAACCATATGCTCTTAATGCTCTTCGAGTTTCAAGAACAACTTATAACTGACAAAATTTATAACTGACTAACTCAATTTGAAAAAACTGCATTAAAAAAGTATTATTCCGCTGGGTAATCTGATATTTTACATCTAACAGTGAAGATAGAAATCGATCACTTTTTTCATGATTTTTCTTTTTTCGTAAGTAGAGAGCGCTAATGAACTTCAATTGGACTCAAAAAATCACATATACCTAAGTGAATTTGTGAATGCACTTCTAGAGTTTTTAAAGCATTTTTAGATTTTTCTTTAAAAAACAACACAAAACATCATGGTTTCTATGAGAGTGTTCACTACATTCATTGACTCTTTAAAAATTTGAACGTGCTTTATCACAATCATCTCATTACACAAGCAAAGCTTGTGTGATAGGATGAACTCTCTTTTTTCCAACCTAAGTCGCATATTTTGTTGCGACGCAGATATTTTTGTGGCAAAATGTGTTCATTTTGATTAATAACCAGCTATTTAATACAGCCAATGCTAATGATACTAACACAGACTATTATATTACAAATAGCACTTTAGCTTCAAGGTATCACGGATCTGTAGCGCAGAGGTAGGGAAGGAGAACCACAACAAAATAAGAGGGTTAGAACCTGGGCAGGGTGAAATATTTTTAATGAACTTTTTCATATAATGGTTAAAATGCGTCCGCTCTATATATTGAGGCATGTTAGTTGGTAATTTTTTTTCTCAAATGGACTGGTACTGCTAATGCGTCATAATTGGCTTGGGACACTTAGCAATTATATGGTCTCATAATTGCGTGCGTCTCTTAAGAAAAGTAGTAGACTAAAATTTTTACTCATTCAAATTTTCCCAGTCGCGTTATCGGTCATATTTTTGCCTGTGTATGCAAAGGGCAACTTCGCCTCTGTGTTGAATTTTACTTTAAAAGAGTCGTATAACCCACTGAGTTTCAGTTTCATGTTTTTTTTCTTTTTCCTTAATCAAATGATAAAAAAAATAAAATTTTTACATGATCGGCACGCATAACATTTTTGTACTAGGCACAAGATTGTACTACGCTCAAATTGTTGTTTATTTTCATTCAATTTTTGCTTTTATTCAATAGAGTGCTGTTTAAAACTATCCGGACAAAATGAACAATATTTGAAACTTCAAACGCGTTTTTTTTTCAAACTGGGTTAAGTTAAGACAAAAAGTAAAGAGAACAAAATTTGCTAAAAATTTTACCAGAATTCTTATGGTGAAACTTTTTTTTGAAATTCCCAACCAAAATTTTACCCCAAAAATGGGTCATTTTGACTTTTTCAGTGAATCAAGAACTACGCTGAGTTGATTGATGAGAACGTAACGTAATATCAAAAGAGCCCAAAAAAAATCCAAAAAAACGATAATTTTTGAAGACCGAAGATGAAGACCGATAATTTTTGGTTTTGTTCCTGAATTGCAAAGCACTCTCAAAATATTTCTGTGCTTATCGAAAAAAGTTTACTGATTCAAATTTAATTATCGTATCGTTTCAATTCGTTACAATTTATACTATTTAGCCAATTGGGGTGTCCTAATTGAATGTGATAATAAATTTTGATTTGTCAAACAGAAGCACGCGTTTAAATCATCCTCTAAAAGAATTAACTGCATAAAGAAGCTGTAGATGTTGGGTCTAGGACAAAAAAGCCGACGGGACTTCAAGCCGAAGGGACTTCAGGACGAAAATTAAACTTTACAAGCACCTCAAATCATTATTTTTTCATCTGTAAAACGTTGCTTGTCAAAATCGTAGGCTATTTTACTCCATAATAAGCGTTATTTATGACAATGAATCACTTGGGATTGGCATCCGTTAATAATATCAGCCGGTTTTTGAAATGCATAAATTATAAACAAGAAAATTACCTTCAACCGTGTTTTATTTTTCAACTTTCCTAAACATCATTTGGAGCCTTAAAATTGATGAAAACGCTAATAAGTACCGATTAAAGATCATGAAATTGAGAAATTCTTCAAAAAAAATTTCAAATTAATCATATTTCATGACTTAGAGAGAAAATTTTCGGCTTGGAGTCCCTAATTTTACGATTCGGCTTGAAGTCCCGTCGGCTTGATGTCCGGCACCCGTAGATGTTACAGAACTTCGGTTAATAACTTTTGTGTCCTTTTATTCTCAAATATTTCTTATTGACCTATTTTTATCATTGGAAAACACTCGGGCGAGATGTGTTAAAGAATTTGTTAATTTTTCTGTAGTGTTTTCTTTTTTTTTGAGAAAAACATTGTTTTTTTTGCAATGCAAAGTGAAGCGATAAGCTCTTTTTCGATTCTGCTAAAACGTCTAATTGAGTTAGATTGTTTATTTATTGATAAAGAGTACTGAATAAGTAACCTGGTTAAGCTCAGTTAATTTTAGATCATATATCCCAATGAGTGGATTTAGGAGTCGAGGGGGTGGGATTGTACGGGGTAGGATGTAGTATATAACAGAGGTAAGTTAACTTGCCTCCTTTATATACTACATCTTACACCGTACAAACCCCACCGCGCCCTCTAAATCTACCCCTTGGGATGTATGATCTGAACTTAACCAGGCTTTTTATTCAGTACTCTGTATCAACCATGTGTACGCTCAATACATGACTGACCTTGACAATTTCGGCACACTTGATTGTCGTTGCACCCTCCTCCTCGTGACCATGGTAGAAAATGATGACAAACGGATATCGCATGTGAATGAACTCCTTTACTTCGTTGTTCACGTCACTCACAAAGTAGTTGTACGCTATCTGCTCTGTGATGTTTTCGGCGTAGAAGAAATTCGCCAGCGTCTTCTTCAATTTCTCTCGGTGTTTCTCCGAAACCGTCTCGGGAAGAAGTCGTGTGGGGTCGTTGCGCGACTCGAAGTTCATTTCCTCTGAAACAAATCCCAATCGTGAAAAGTAATTGCAAGTATTTGTCAGTCCAGACTTTGAAATGATGCGACATTTTGATTTCGGTGTTATAGTAAAAATCAGAATATTGATAAAAGCTACTTTTAGGTGGATTCCGTTTAAAACTAGTGAGAGCAGGGATAACTTGATGATTTATGCAGGCGCGGTTCTATGATTTTCTGAAGGGGGGATTTTCAAAAAAATTTTCGAGTCGATCAAATTGATTTTTTTAGCTCTCACACATCTCCAACCTTCTTTTTTAACTTTCTTTTTTCCAACCTAAGTAGTAAATATTGTTGCGAATTTTGCTGCGACTTCGTCGCAATTGTTGTTGCGACTTAAAGCAACAACATTTGCTGCGTCGAATTTGCTGCATCGAATTGGCAATAAGATATTTTGATATTTTGTTGCACCTTTGATTAAGAGTAAGAAGTTTTGAACGTAGTGAAGTTTTTTATACAGATCCTGCAGATTTTTTTTTGTTTTTTTTTTCAGAAAAAAGTCTTAAAATATTGATGCACTTAGGTATGATGCACTTTTTGAGTTCAATTGGAATTAATCTGCTGAAAGTGACGTAAATCGCAATCTTCAAATAACGAGCGTGGAAATGGCGAGAAAAAACGTGAAAGATTTCTAGTTTCGAAAGTGGAATTTATTTTTAAGAGTTACCAGCGGAAAAAAAACTTTACCTATTGATCCAGTTTACTCAAGTTGGGCTCATGTTTTTTCAAAATACCACCAATCATAAATTGTCCAAGAAAATCAAAGAGCTTAAATGACATCTATTTTTTCTCGGAAATTCGAAAATTGAGATTTTTTAAAGAAAGTCAGCGTTTTTTATGTTTACTTGCGTTCATTACTTTTTTCAATCTTCGATTGGCTATGTTATTTAGTTGCACCTTTACACCTTATTGATAACTTGTGCTTTGACATTCGAATATTTCTAAGTTTACACAGTTGATGCATTTTTATTTCATCAATTGAACCAAAAAAAGCTATTTGTGTCAAACAACATAACAATAATAAGTCTCGATTTCAGAAGTTTTCTAATTCAAAATATCTCGCATTTTTTTAAAATGCATAATTTACACATGATGTGGCTTTATGATTTCCGATTTTTTTGCATGCAAAACTGTATCTTTTTGTATTTGATGCTTCTTTTGCTGCATCGAATTGGCTTTTTATTAGCATATGTAACTGCATTATTGGTGGCTAGTTATTTGAGATTTTAGGCATCTGTGACTGAATGGTTAGTGCGTGGGAATCAAATTTGCTAGGTCGCTAATTCGAGTTTTTGCTGAGCCTCGAGTTTTTGCAAATGCGAGGCTTATTTCTACTTTTTCTTATGTCACTTGTTAGAGCTGCTTTTTGGCCGTGTTCTTGCCAGTTTTTGCGAAGCGCAATCTTGCCTGTGTGTGAAAGTTTTATTCTGACCAAATTTTGGCGACCAAATTTTTCAAACAGCAGGCCAAAAAAAGCGGTTTTATGTGGCACTTATTGAAAAAGTTTGACCAGAAAATCGCGTTTTTTCGCGTGCGCTCGCCCTTCAAAGTTAGTATATTTTGGCACCGAAGTTCAGCTAAATGTGCAGTCAGCCAAAAAATAATATCTCAAAATGGTATAAAGGGACCTTTTGGGTCTGCAGGGGATCGAATCCCCGAGAGGGGCGAAAGACACCCACCACCCAAATCCGGTACTTGAAAGTTGCTAACTGTGCATATCGGCGTTCAATAATTATTTGAACGGACTCAATTTGATAATTCAAAAAACTGAACAGCAATTTGCAATTAGACAAAATTATTTGATCTGAATTTACACGAGACATCAAAAACTTTCGCACCCGTTTTTATTGTTTCATGAATCCCGAACGAAAGATAAAATTGCAGCTTTTTGAGGTTGAAGGTCACCTTTTTAGTGTCTAAAAGATTACGCTAATTGATAATCATAATAAATTGTTTTCATATCAGAGGTAATTCAATAGACATTTGTCAATTTATATAATTCTGATATGCAAGGACATCAAAAGTCCCGATAGGCCTAGTCCATTGATGCGTTAATTAAGCAGTACATCTTCTAATAAGTAATATGACGTTTCAACTGCTAGATAATAGAAAATGTCCAAACCCTACAACCTCACTTTTAGAGAAAAAAGATCTGTGAATCATTAAGATTGATGACTGCATCAGCAAAATGTGCTAAACAAAATTTCGAATAAGGTTGAAAAGTTTTCCAATCCATACACCTATCTCTTTATTAGGACTTTTACCAGTGAAATTATTCGTTGATTTGATTTTCATAATATTTTATATTTTATTATGTCAATCTCTGAGTCCAAATTTAGTTTTTTAGGTATTCAGTTTTCAGATCTTTGGGTAAAATTTTAACTAAGGTTTGAATAGCTCGTATAAGTGCAGTTTTTCACTGAGATTATCTTGTGAATTTCTTCAAAATATGTTGCAGACTGATATCTTTGCTTTCTTAAAAATATTCTCAGAATTTGATTTTGTTTCATTTGAAGTTTTTGCAGTAATGGTTTTTTAATGGTTTTAATGGTGCCGTACACTAGAACATCACATTACAGTATTGGTTAAATGTGGCTGGAATAGTTTTGATTAGTTGCGCTGTTGTTAGTACGTCACTTAGTCGGTAATTCACAATTAAAGTCATTTTTGACGAGAAAAACAATATGAAAATTGAAATCTAATTTTGCGTCCATGTGAAAGCCCAAAAATTTAGTAAAGAAGCGTTTCTTAGTTTCATCTGTTCCTATTTTTGTATTGTCGAATCTTTAGATTTTTTTCCTACTAAAATTAATGTTTTTTGTTTTGTCGAGGTACAGAGTTAGCCTATTGCTTTTCAAGCATTTTTCTATTTTAGTTTAATCCTTATTGTATTGGTATAAAATTTGCTGTTTTTGCTTTGCTGCTGTATCATCAGCGTATAAATATGTTTTAATTAGTTTGTAATTGTGGTAAATTATTTATTTGTAATCTGAACAGTAGTAGCCCAATGACTTACCCTTGTGAAACTCCACAGTGAATATTTCCAATTTTGACCATTTAGAGCCTTTTTTGACTACTTTTGATCTATAAGCAAATTTTATTTCAACAATGCCTGAATGGGACCTCGTAGCCCGCAGTTTTCAGCTTTTTTTGTGGAAGTGTTTTGTGTGAAACAGTTTCAAACGCTTTTTTGAGATCGACAAAAGTTGCATGTGTTACATTGGGGTTCAATTACCAAAAATTTCGGGTGTCTTCCATGAAGTTTAGCAAATCATTTTTAAGTTTGAACTTGGTTTGACACGCTTTGACTTCTTTTGATTTTGTTTTGGCAGGGTTTTACCAGGATTTTATCTTGACTTTAACTTGTTAATATTACGCTAAAATGAGGTTAGCTGACATTGGTTGCGGATCTACGCAACGGCTACGTTTAAACCACAGTTCTATGAAGTGCCTACCAAGTTTCAGATTTTCAAAAAGCAAAAATGCTTATGAATACGCTGCTTAGCTTGTGTAATAGAATGATTATATTGATTGAAATATTGTTAGACTGAGAAGGTAGGTGCAAGGATGCAGAAAATACAATATAAATGAAAATGTTTAGACAAATGAATAACCAGGGCCATATTATGAAATTGTATACTTTGCGTTTTTTGTCAACCCGGGCGCGCTCCGTACTTCATACACTCACCCATCAACTCGATGCAAAAGGTGTCTGGCTCTTTTTCTTCCATCACTACCTGAGATCCGGATAAATTATTCTCATCCGCAGCTGGGGTCCCGTTCGCAGGAGCCACTGAGTTCTGCCTGGAAACTGGAATCGCAGTCGTAGCTGCAGTCGCAGTAGTTTTACCACAGTCATAAACAGCTATAATGAAGTGTTTCCCGCCGTACTTCTTCCTCCGAGTCCGGTACTTTCGAAGTCGCGCCGCTTCCGGGTCATCGGGGTCATCCAGGCCTAAAATATTCTTCCGGAAACTCCGACTCCAAGTCTTACGCCAGCTGCCACCACGTCCATCTGATTTGGCGACCCGCCGAGCAATCAGTGCTGCTTTTTGATTTTTTCTGAACACAAAAAAGGAAAACTTGTTATAACGAAATTTCGAGTTAAATATTGCATTAATTTATTGACATTTCAAAGGAACCACGTTCAAGTTTCGACCACGAAGTAGCAGATCTGAGACTCGAGCCCGGACATTAACTAGGGGGCAGTGGGGGGGGGGGGGGGTGGTTGAGGAAATTAACTAGGTTATGAGTTTGATTTTTCAGCCAATCAGAGAAGAGTTTTTTACACGCGCCGCTTAGCAATTTTAATATATATTACATGCTGGTGTGGAGGATTTTAGTTTGGCTCAAAAAATAATCAACTCAAAGTCGAGGAAAACAGGTCCAAAAACAGG